GGAGCAGGAGGTCTTCTAAACCAAGGTCTAAAGCCCACTGGCAATTGGTTTTTTGGAGGCGTGAAGTGAAGAACAGAACACTGTCCACTGGCCTGCCCCCCCCTCATGTCCCAGTCATGGCTGGCCGTTACCTTATCTCTACGGTAAACAAACATTTGGGATGGGTTGAGCGGGAGGCCCAACGCAACCCATGACAGAGGGTACGGCATTAAACAGATCCTTATTCTTCCCTACACTCGATAAGACTTACTTCACGACTGTACGCTAATACCAATATATGCACACACATATGAAGGAAACTTTAAACCACCGTAAAGCAATTGTGAACAGAAGTGACTGGGAGGAATAATTAACACTGAGTAACAAGGGGAAGGAATATGGCACTTAATGTTGTGTCCTGTCACGGTCGCCATTTGTTACGAGTTGGGGATTTAGAATATAAGGTTAAAGTCTACCCAGATCCCAACAGGCAACAACAATAAAAAACCAAAGACAATCGGACTATAAAAGGGTAGACAAGGGATGCAGTTTGTGTTGTGTATTATAAAGTACCATAAATTCCTTAACAAAATATATGCTTATAATTTCCCTTAAACATACTTAACCTAAACATTAACAGTATATACATATTTATACAACATACAATAATTTGAAGCAAGGTGGAGGGGGGAGGCAATATAAGATTACAAATACTTATGCGGAGATGAGATGGCTGACGAGTAAGGCTGAGTATTGTAGAAGACGTAGGTAGTCACTGTGCTGTAGGTTTCAGGGTGATAGGTGATCCTGTGGTCACTTCCTAGAGTGAACTGCACTCTCCTAGAACTGGAGCTGACGAAGAAGACTTGAGGAGGTGACGCAACAACCAGGATAGTGGAGGGGAAAACCCAGGAGTGGTAACTAAGAGTAGTCATTCTCGGTTTCCCTAGATGGCGTTGCTCGGGTGGTGGTATAGAGATCAGACAATAGATGGCGGGTTCGTAGTGCTGGGAAGGTAGATCATGACAATTGGTGGCGTGGTTCGTAACAATATTGTAACAACATCTTGAAGGAGGAAGTGGGGTCATGAAATGAAACGCTGAACTAGCTCTTCATCTCGAATACCGGTTAAAATGATTGTGTTGAGTTGTGTCTCTTCAGAAACTTGAGAATTTCCAGGACAAACATCAATTTCTCTGAACATCTTTTCAGTCTTACAAAATGCATCAAAAATTCTCCATCAGCTGCTTACATTGGAGGAGTTCTTCTTCTAAGTGCTTCTTTGCGCTGTCCCTTAACATGTTCCTGTAACTTGTCAAGCACGTTTTCAGTCAGAGTTGTCGAGGAGGCACTTGAAGTGTGTACCGAGAGTACTTTGTGTCTCTAAGGACAAGCACATACGAAGCTGTATCATCTGTTAAGGCTGTGGTAAACTTGACAGGTCAACCATTGTTGCATAGTTTTGACAACGTCGACGCCATTCCCGAAATATCTGATAAGAAGTTTAGACTTCAGAGAGAGGTGCTCAGCAAGCTTTGAGGAATTTTGTTGAACCGACTTTGGGAAATGAGGTACCAGTACCTCTAGTCGTATCAGCATTAGTAGTAGAAGAATCTTGTAGAGTAGATCGTTGTGAGGCTAGCAGGAAAATCAAGGCTTCAAATCTGGCTTGATTTTCTTCTTCAGGTCATCCTCACGTCTACGTATATCTTCTAGTTCTCGCGCCTTTGTTCATCTTCGTGGCGTCGTCTTTCAGACTCTCTGTACGAATTTTCCTCTTCTCCTTTTGCAACATAGTTCTGGCGTCGAGAAGTTTCCATCCACTTAATCAGTTGAAGGAGATCTTTGGGACACAGGCACCGCAGGAGAGCTTGCTGCATTTAACGAGGAGATTCTTGTGGGTGATTGGGCGTTGTCACTGTGGGGAGCGTGGGGCCTGAGGTGGGTGGGGAGAGGTTCCCAAGCTTAAACTCATAACCCCATCGTCCAGGGTATCATTTTGATCCCTGTGAGATATAGCTGACAGCTTTGTACTCTATCTGTGCAAGAGACCGGGTCAACCCCTCAATCTATGCACAGAATTACAGAAGTTTAAAGTAATACACAAGAATTTAATATAAAGTGGCCCTGAGAGTGCGGTGTGTGTATGGCTCGCTGGGCTTGGCGCGCTGCCAGACATAGAGGCAGCTGTGCAAGTCGTAACTGAACTGAAGTTTGCTCGCTGCTCAGTACCCAATGACCATAGGCAGAGGGGTTGTACTGCTCCTCTGGTCATCTGACTGCAGTTTGCACAGACAATTCTGATTAAAATATACAACACAGCACTTCACAGAACACTTCACTCTCGCGACAGCACTTTACACAGCACAGCACTTCACAACACTAAGTCCTGAGGCTTGTAGTCTTGCTGTAAATCCTGGTGAAGGAAGACGAGACGCCATTAACACAGTCCGGCGGAAGGCTAAATTCACTCTGAATCTCACTCAGAAATCTCACTGCGCCATCTATGTTTGTCTTTGATACCCACAAAATGTTCTACTACTGAGGGTACACACAAACACTTGTTATCTTGAAAATAGGTTCTTATTCTCGTACGGGAGATATACAGAGGAAACAATAGACAGAGGGCTTCACACCATAAGGACTAGTGATCTCCACTCTCTGTATACCTCAGCTGGCATGCACAGATGCCAGCATTCACAAGCTGAATACATAATATGTAAATATGATAATTACATACATAACATGGTGTATAATAAATGGAAATATTACATAGAATTAATACATGTTCTGTAAACTTTACTATACATAATTAATAGAGTAATATAAGAATACACAGCTTAAGGTACTACTTTTTGTCCATATTATACAGTAGCTACCTCATCCAGGGATGGATTATAGCTGAGGTAGGTCAGCTGTGATGCTGAGGGACCTGCTGGGTAGTCAGACAGATATAACATTGGTGTTTTGTTGACTATGAATGGTAGTGCTCTTTTCAGCACTAAAGGATGCCTTCTTCGTCATTATGAGGACGTCTTCGGATGAACAGAGGGGGTTGTGCTATGAGTGACTGGGCCATAAAATGTTTTTAGTGAAATTGGAAAAATTGCTCATCTTGTGTTCCTCTGCAAGTTTTGTACTTCACACGCTTTATTTTTATGGCATTTGTTCTTAGACTGCAGTTTCGCTGGCCTGCCTCTTTCTTCTTGTGGAAGAAATCAGCTTTGGTCTGAGACTGAGGGTTGTTCTGCCAGTCAGTAAAAAGCAGCTCGTTTATTATCGATGAGTACATTGATTACCGGGTCATTTTCATCAAACCATTCCTGGTGTATTCTTTCGATCTGGCCAAGGGTCTCTCTGCAGGTTTTGTCATGACAGTGTTGAGGATACCCCATTCAGCAACTTGGTTTGACTGTTAGTGTTGCTTTTTATCAGCCTTTTTCGCTACTACCTCTGGATCCTCCAGACGCTTAGTGTTTAAACCCTTCTGGAGGCTTGTTGCTTTCGGCCGTTTTGGGCGATGAGAAGGAAGAGTTTGGTCTGACAAGCTGATGATCAGTGTCTCAGTAGTCTGAGCCACACATGGGCTTGGGTGATGAGGACATCTCGGCGATCTCTTTCTCTGACAATGATGTAGTCAATGAGATGCCAGTGTTTGGATCGTGGGTGTTGCCACGAGCCCTTAAACTTGTCTGCCTGCCTAAACAAGGTGTTGGTGATAGTGAGGTTGTGTGCAGCACACTTGCTGAGGAGGAGTAGGCCGTTGGGATTACACTTGCCCACTCCGTTTTTCCATATGGTTTCCTGCCATTTGTCAGCATCTCTGTCAACTCTGGCATTGATGTCACCTCTGAGCACAACCTTATCTTCTCTGGGGATAGGATACCACTCTGTCAAGGTCGTATAAAGGCTGCCTTGGTGTCATCATCTGCATCTAGTGTTGGGGCGCATACACAAATGAAGAAGGCATGACATGAGTGATTCAGTGAGACTCGGAGCGTCAGGGGTGCTCGTTGATCCCAACAGGCACTTCAGTTAGCCTATGGAGGATGGATTGGCGGATGGCAAAGGCAACTCCATAAATGCGGTTTCTCTAAGCAGCAGGCTTACCCTTCCAGAAGGTATAGCCAGACCCCTGTTCTGTGAGTCGACCCTCGTCTGGGAGCATGGACTCAGTAATGGCTGCCACAAGGACGGTTCTTCCAGGACGCTCGTTTGTGCCAGTATCCAGAAGGGTCCTGACATTCCATGCAGCGACCATAAGAGGTTGTATAATGTATAGTTTGTTTTTTCTTTGATCTGTGATTATGATTATGTTTTAGACCGCGTAGGATGACATTGATGGGTGCAGTTACCCAGTCAGGTTGGTTCTTTAGGCAGGCTATGTTTAAGGCACCTTTTCTCGCCTCCTCCCTATGTGGTGTATGGCAGAGTGGCTCCTAAGAAGGGCTGTTCAGTCGCACAGACTGGACCAGATTACACTGCTGCCTAGATCCCAGTGCAAAAACGACCTTATCTGTGCCGCCCATGTGCAGAGTTGCGACTAGAGACTCCCGGCAGTCACCTCTGCCTGTCCCCGTCGCCACTCGTCCCACGCCTTAGGACTTTTGGGGGCATAGGGGTTTTGATGATGAAAAGTATGATAAGCTGGATGATGTCTGCACATGAGTTAATATATATATGGTGAGGCAGGAGTGCAGGCTGCAACCACACATCTTGGCTCTCCCTTTTCCTGATCCAGTGGTGCATGTGTTGCAACGACTGGGGAGAGGGAGAGTTGCATAGCCCAATTTGTTGGGTTTTGCCTTAGTAGCTGACCATCTTGCCTTGCCTTCGTCTGTAGGTCTTGTCGTTGGGTTCCAAGTTGGTCACCTCTTCTGCCTCTTCCGCCATTGGGGTCTTGGAGCTCTGTAGCATGTTGCGTGATGTGGGGCTCCATCACATATTTTTGTTCAGGGTTTACTCCTGTAGCTTATACTTACCAAGGTTATCCGCGTGGTTGGTAGTACCGGCGTGCCTACATGCCGATGGGCCAATGCGACGTTCCTCTGGGGCACACTGCTGCTCCAAGAGCCCCTTCTGGTCTAGCTTGGGGCCGCGGGGCACCCAGTTACCGTATGTTGCCACGAGGAGACACAACAGGAGATTTGATGGTGAGGAGGCTATGTAATGGCAGGGGAAGACTTATGCAAGGTTGCTTCCTTGTTCACCACGAGGGCTAGCCAGCGGTGGTAGTTATAAGCGAGAGGAAGCAAGCAGTGCTTGCACCTTAACACTCACATAATGCTGCCACACTAGATGCATTACACACCCTACACACACACACACGCTTGGATCACCTGTGGTGCCTTTGGATATTTTTCGAATATATTTAATTTTCTCTGATAAATTATGCACAGCATTGTACACATTAGCCATAGTTGTACACATTAGCCATAGTTGTACACATTAGCCATAGTAGTACACATTAGCCATAGTTGTACACATTAGCCATAGTTGTACACATTAGCCATAGTTGTACACATTAGCCATAGTTGTACACATTAGCCATAGTTGTACACATTAGCCATAGTTGTACACATTAGCTAGAGTTTACACATTAGCCATAGTTGTACACATTAGCCATAGTTGTACACATTAGCCATAGTAGTACACATTAGCCATAGTTGTACACATTAGCCATAGTTGTACACATTAGCCACAGTTGTACACATTAGCCATAGTTGTACATTAGCAGAGTTTACATTATTGTGGCCATAGTTGCACACACAGCCATATGTACACATTAGCCACAGTTAAAACACACAGCCATAGTAGTACACACAGCCATAGTTTCACACACATTAAAGCCATACACATTAGCCATAGTTGTACACATTAGCTAGAGTTTACACATTAGCTATAGTTGTACACATAGCCATAGTTGTACACATGAGCCAGTTGTACACATTAGCCAGAGTTTACATTATTAGCCACAGTTGTACACACATTAGCCATAGTTGTACACATTAGCCATAGTTGTACACATTAGCTAGAGTTTACACATTAGCCATAGTTGTACACATTAGCCATAGTTGTACACATTAGCCATAGTTGTACACATTAGCCATAGTAGTACACATTAGCCATAGTTTTACACATTAGCCATAGTTGTACACATTAGCCATAGTTGTACACATTAGCTAGAGTTTACACATTAGCCATAGTTGTACACATTAGCCATAGTTGTACACATGAGCCAGTTGTACACATTAGCTAGAGTTTACACATTAGCCACAGTTGTACACATTAGCCATAGTTGTACACATTAGCCATAGTTGTACACATTAGCTAGAGTTTACACATTAGCCATAGTTGTACACATTAGCCATAGTTGTACACATTAGCCAGTTGTACACATTAGCCATAGTTGTACACATTAGCCATAGTTGTACACATTAGCTAGAGTTGTACACATTAGCCATAGTTGTACACATTAGCCATAGTTTTACACATTAGCCATAATTGTACACATTAACCATAGTTGTAAACATTAGCCAGTTGTACACATTAGCCATAGTTTTACACATTAGCTATAGTGATGGGTTGTCAGACCACAGGTTACATCTCAGAAACAGTCCAGACCTGACCCAACATTAGGGGGGTCAAGTGTAAGGGTAACCCTCGCGGCCACTCATGGGTGTTACAAATCAGCCAGGCTCCCCTCCCATGTCACACGGCCCCAACAAACATGTAAGAAGGCACCTGCCGACTCTCTCCCAATATACACAATAACCTACATCGCAGAAGAAGTCCAGACCTGACCTCACATTAGCCAGGTCAAATGTAACTCTCGAGCCCAAGTCAAGAGGCCACAAATCAACCAGGGCCTCTCATGTCACACGGCCCCATCTGAAGATTTCTCCAGAATATACAACTTATAGTCTCTGAAAAAGTCCAGACCTGACCCTACATTAGCGAGGGCAAATGTAAGGAGACCCTTCGCCGCCCCCCCGATCAGCTCAACCTGACGGCTGGTCTTCCAATATATAGGACGTCCTAGCCCTCCCTCACGAGAGTGTGTCTTGTAACCAAGAAGGGCCAGCTACCACGTCCCCAGTCCCGCTCGTAGCCCTCCCTCAGGGGAGCAGCGAGAGGGAGTCAGAGAGACAGAGTCGGGGAGAGAGAGACACACAGGGATCGGAGGAGGAGGTCCACCACAGCCCAGTCCCGCTCACGGGAGGAGAGTCACGCAAGACTTCCCTCCCCGACTTCCCTCCGGTGCCCAGCTAAGCAGTCTCCCATAGAGACAACCCAGGACCACCTGCTAGGCCTCCCCAGGTCACGAGAGTTTTTGTCAGAGTTTCCATGGGATGAGTTACTTACGTGGGAATATATGTACACATTAGCCATAGTTGTACACATTAGCCATAGTTGTACACATTAGCCATAGTTGTACACATTAGCCATAGTTGTACACATTAGCCATAGTTGTACACATTAGCCATAGTTGTACACATTAGCCATAGTCGTACACATTAGCCATAGTTGTGCATATTAGCTAGAGTTGTACAGTAATTTTTTTTTGGGGGGGTCACCTTTATTGTGTTATACAATATGACACACGCATTCTGAACAACACTCATTTACGCGGGTGAGTCCTGTTAATTTATATCCATTAACTGTACGTGATATAAAAAATACATTATACTGGTTATACAATGCATCACACAACCAGATATACCAACCTAACCAAATTAACATGGCCTCAGTCTGTGATCGTTGCAGAGGCCATCAGACCAAGGGGTGCAGAATATTTTTTTTGCTGACTGTACACGTTGGGAAGACATGCACAGGTGAACAAAGTCATCTAATGGGGTTTTTTTCAGGTAAAATATTGGCGATTAATATTTCCTTCTTTTTCGTTTTATTTTTTTATTTATTTTGTTCTCTTGGTTGTTGTGGAAGACTGTCGTGGATTGGCCTTTTTTTCTCCCTCTTTTCTGTTTCTGGGGATTTTTTTTAAGAGTTTCGATTTTTTCTACGATTTTTTTTTAAGATTTTTTATTTTTTCTACGAATTTTTTTAAGATTTCGATTTTTTCTACGTTTTTTTTAAGATTTTCGATTTTGTCTATGATTTTTTCCGACGAATTTTTATTTTCTAGCATTTCAGTTTGTTTCCAAAGAATTATTTTTAAGGTTCGATTCCTTTGCGGTTTTTTTTTTTTTTTAAGAATTTAAATTTTTTTCACTGGTTTCGTTAATGTTTACGTTTTGTTTTTCCTCCAACAAAACAACAGCAACAGTAACTTACCACCTGTGTTTGTGTCTCATCCTGTAAACAATTTTTATAACTTGATTGTATTTATCTACGTGTTTGTTTATATGACGTCATCATATAAAGGAGTAAAACAGGACCAGGGAAGGGTAGGTTTAAATGTATACTATACAAACAGTAGGAGCGTTAGAAATAAAATAGACTTGCTGAGAGCGGTTGTATGTACCGAGAATGTAGACGTCATAGCAATCACCGAAACTTGGATGAATGTGGCGAGCAAGAACTCTTTATCAGAGTACCACATAGAAGGGTACAACCTTTTTCACAAGGACAGGGAAGGTAGGAAGGGGGGAGGGGTCGCACTCTTCGTCAAGGATACATTAAAATGTTGTATTAATAATTCAATAAAGGGTGAAATAGGAACCGAGTCTGTATGGGTAGAAATCACGGAAGGAAGAGAAAAACTAATTATGGGAGTGATTTACAGGCCCCCAAGTCTTGGCAAAGAAGCAGCTCAGCCCATATGGCAGGAAATGAGTAGGGCAGCAAAATATAACAACCTATGCATTATGGGGGATTTCAACTTCAGAAATATTGACTGGGACAACATTGTAGGCGACTATGAATCTGAAGACTTCCTAGACGCAGTCCAGGACAATTTCTTGAAACAACTAATTACAGAACCTACTAGAGGTGACAATATATTAGACCTAGTATTAACAAATAAAGAAAATATTATCAGAGATATCACAGTAGGGGAAAAACTAGGTAACAGTGATCACAGAGAAATCAGGTTCACCCTAAATCGGGAAACGAAAAACAATGACAATATGGTCAGTCTCAAACTTTCGGTTGGCGGATTATCAGGGGTTAAGAAGGTACCTAGGTGAGGTCACCTGGGAACAGTCACGTCAGTCCCCAGTAGGAAGGGGTGAGGTCATAGATGACACAACAATTGATCATGACTATAATATATTCACTAGTATACTACATAAAGCACAAGAACAAAATATACCATACAGAAAAATTAGGTCAAATAAGAATGAGCCAAGGTGGATGACCAGAAAACTTAAAGTTACGACATAGAATAAAGAAAGGAATTCTGTAAGAAATTAAAGGGAGGAGCAGCTCAGAAACAGGTATAATGAACTATCTAGGAATGTTAAGAAAAATGTAAGGAAAGCAAAGAGAGACTATGAAATCAAAATAGCAAGAGAATCCAAGGCGAATCCCAAAGGATTTTTCCAGGTATATAGGACAAAGGTCAAGGACAAAGTTGGGCCTTTAAAGTCAGGGAGGGGAGAATTGATAAATGGCAGTGAAGAAATAAGCAAAGCATTGAACAGCTACTTCTTATTAGTTTTCACAGAAGAAATTTGCGATGAAATTCCGGAGGTGAAACTGATATTTAAGGGAAAGGAAGAAGAGAAATTAAAGAATATCACTATCAGAAAAGAGGATGTTCTTAAGAAGATAAATAAACTAAAGAATACAAACCCGGGAACAGATTAGCGGACCCCTTGTAAATTTATTTACAAAATCATTAGACACCGGAGTTGTGCCAGAGTTGTGGAAACAGGCAAATGTAGTACCCATATTCAGAAAGGGAGACAGAGCATCAGCGTCAAATTACCGGCCGATCAGTTTGACGTCAGTAGTGGGGAAATTTCTTGAATCAATTATAGCAGATAGCATCCGATCGCATCTAGAGAAAAGCAAATTAATCTACGACTCACAACATGGGTTTACAAAGGGAAAATCTTGTCTAACAAATCTGCTGACGTTTTTTAGGAAAGTCTTCGAGGTAGTAGATAATTTAGACGAAAATTTCATATTTTACTTAGACTTTTAGCAGCATTTGGATAGAGTACCGCATCAGAGGCTTCTGAGAAAAAAATTAAGGCTCATGGTATCGAGGGAAAGTTTTAAATTGATAAAATCATGGCTCACCGATAGAACGTGAGGGTCAGCGTGATGGTGTTAAATCTGAGGCCGTGTAACCAGTGGGGTTCCTCAGGGGTCAGTACTAGGCCCACTCTTGTTCATAATCTACATAAACGATCTAGATACTGGGATCAGCAGTGACATAAGCAAGTTTGCGGATGACACCAAAATAGGGCGGCAGATTAATTCAGGGCAGGATGCAATTGCATTACAGGAGGATCTAAATAAACTGCAGGGGTGGTCTGAAAAATGGCAAATGAAATTCAACACCAGCAAGTGCAGCGTACTTAATATTGGAAGGACAAATACTGATAATGTATACAGCCTTAACAACATCAACCTAGAGAAATCGACTTGTGAAAGAGACTTAGGGGTACTTGTATGCTCGGACCTATGGCCTAGAAAACAGTGCGTTAATGTTCGAAATAAGGCAAACAGAGTATTGGGTTTTATATCTAGAAGTGTAAGTAACAAGAGTGCAGAGGTCTTATTACAACTATATCTTGCGCTAGTCAGGCCGCACCTTGATTATGCGGTTCAGTTCTGGTGCCCCTATTGTAGAATGGATATAAATTCACTAGAGTCGGTGCAGCGAAGAATGACAAAAATGATTCCGGGACTTAGAAACCTTCCATATCAGGATAGGTTAAAGAAACTTAACTTGCATTCCCTAGAAAGACGAAGAGTGCGGGGAGATATGATAGAAGTATTTAAACGGGTGAAAGGAATCAATAAAGGGGATATAGATAAAGTTCTTATAATATCCGAGCAGGATAGGACTCGGAGCAACGGATTTAAGTTGGATAAGTTTAGGTTTAGGAGGGAGATAGGAAGAAACTGGTTCACAAATAGGGTGGTGGACGAGTGGAACAAGCTTAGCAACTTTGTAGTAAGTGCGGGAACTCTGGAAAGTTTCAAAAGGAGGCTAGATAGATTCATGGATGATAGAGAGTGGTAGTAACTCTCGACAGGAGCTGCCATGCACAGGCCAACCGGCCTATTGCAGACTCCTTATTTTCTTATGTAACCTTTGACCTGAGTTCACTTGCAATGGACACTTGACCCAGGATGAATCTGAATAAAATTGGTTGACACCTTGGTGTATTTTGACCTATGTTCCAGTTTGATGTTTGACCCAGTGTGACCTTTGACCAAGTTTGAAATTTGATCCTGTTTGACCTTTGACTCGGTTTGATGTTTGACCCAGTGTGACCTTTGATTCGGTTTTATGTTTGACCCGGTTTGACCTTTGACTTGGTTTGATGTTTGACAAGAGTTGACGATTCTACCAGTAACCTTCGCCCCAGGATGACCTCTGACCGGGATTCACTCTAGACCCAACTTACCATATGATCCATGTTGACCCTTGACCCAGGTTAACCATTGACCCCACGTGACCTGACCTTGCAGACGGAGGAGAGGACAAGCAGCGAGGCTCCGACGCTCCGGCCGACGCTACAAAGCTCGGTAACACACCAGGTCAAACCCTTCTTGTTTGACCCTCCCCTTGTGTTCCTCCCACCACTGCACCTCCTTGTGTCTCCTTGCTGAGCCCACAGTAGCCCACCGTACTTCATAGTAGCTCATCAAACTTGTGTTTCCCCTTGCTGAGCCCATCGTAGCCCACCGTAACCTACCCTTAGCCCACTGTAGCCCACCTAAGCCCACCGTAACCCACCGTAGCCCACCCTATCAAGCAGTGCCCACATCAGCCCACCCCACTATACTGTTTGTGACTCGCGGGCTCCATGATACACTAAAAACAGTCCCTTACTTGATATAACGTTGTATGACCCTCAGTAGCGACCGCCAGCGTTACTAGTACCTCCACTCACCTCTTCTGAGTGTTTGACTTAACGTTATTAAAACTCACAGTACAGAGTTTGGTGACTTAACTAGGACTGCTCTCTGTTAATCACCAGTATGCTAAGTTAAGGAACACCGTATGTGATATTATCGTCCATATTTTCCGGAGTCACAAAAATGTATAAAAACTGTTCTCCTAAACTTTGACAATGAGAATTCATCTGGATACAGTAGTCTCAGGCCAATTTTGCCTCCACTTTTTTTCACCATTTGTGCCGTTTGAGTCATTTGAACGTTACCACATCTCTAGTCACGGGGATGAAAATCTAACGTAAGTATTTCTGAATATCCGGAGGCATAGTTTAATGACTTACTGAGACGGGTGGGTGTTTACCTTCGGTATGCCAGGTGAAGCCACCAAACGTCTTACTATTATCAAAGATTTTAAACCTCGGCCACAAAACTGTCTGAGCCAAAGCTCCCACCAAATTTATTATAAAACCTAATGGCTCTGTTTGAGTCAGGAGACGATATAGTAAATTCCGTTTATATATACACATCGTTTGATTTACACAGTTTACTTTAATAGTGGTAATCCTTAGCATATTATAATTAAGTTAAACAATAATAATAGAACTGTAGCTATAAGGAAGAGGCTGGGTGAACGTATAGAGGAGTACCGTGAGTCTATAGCCAAGCCAAAGACTACACGGTCTACACCCACCATGGACCTTATTAGAACTGGACCTCGACCATTGTGTGTGTATGTGTGTGTGTGAAAACAAATTTACGTATCATAATTTACAACCGTTGAGTTCACGAGCGTTTGGTGCCATGGTTGTGTAAATAGAAGGTTCCCTGACGATTACTTCACCGCGGGAGGTGATGTTTTGCTGTGGCTGCTGGGACGCCTCGCCCGCCCTGCCAAAAAGTTCACAAAGTTTGGAATTTCCCGGAAAGAACCAAACATTCAATCTATGTTGCTTGACTTTTTCTCTTTTTTTCTCCTTTTGTACTATTATCGCATTTATCGTTTATTTATATTTTATTTATTGATTGAAGAATATTAAATCTTTTGTTATTTATATTTTTTTACCTCCCATTCTCTTCCCGTAGTTTATATATACGAACGCTAGAGACGATTTAAATGTTATTGTTTCCTTTTCAACATATGGTTAATTATAGACAGGCGTTCGTCCAAATAATAAACAAGAACAATACAGTACTCAGTAATCCAACAGTACAAAAGGTCACCAAACTAGGGGAAGCTATTTTTATTTTATTTTTTTTTTACCTTCGTGTTTCTGGTAAGGGAGAATAACAAAGAAGGGGTAATTAACTTAGATTATTCTAGCAATATTATTATTATTATTATTGTTATTATTATTATTATTATTATTATTATTATTATTATTATTATTAGTATTATTATTATTAGTATTATTATTATTATTAGTAGTATTATTATTGTTATTATTATTATTATTGTTATTAGTATTATTATTATTATTATTATTATTATTAGTATTATTATTATTATTATTATTATTATTATTATTAGTATTATTATTGTTATTAGTATTATTATTATTATTATTATTATTATTATTATTATTATTATTGTTATTATTGTTATTATTGTTATTATTGTTATTATTATTATTATTATTATTATTATTATTGTTATTATTATTATTATTATTATTATTATTATTATTATTATTGTTATTATTATTATTATTATTGTTATTATTATTGTTATTATTATTATTATTATTATTATTATTTACCTAGTGATATGGTCTTTCATATTATTAGTGTTGTGTCCTCAGAACAAACAAACATATAACTGGTGGTGTTGTGTCCTCAGAACAAACGAGCGCTGCCGTACAGAAGAAGAGACGGCCGTACCTTCTGAAGAGGAAAGCACTGACCACTGGCTTCTTTGATTCCAAGAAGGAGGAGACGAAAGGTGAGTCAGTTGTGAGGCGAGTCAGTTGTGAAATTGATCGGTTGTGAGTTAATCAGTTGTGATTGAGTCAGTATGAGGAGAGTCAGTTATGAGTTGAATCAGTTGTGAGTTGAGTCAGTTGTGAGGTGAGAGTCGGTTGTGAGGTGGAGTCAGTTATGATGTGTGAGTCAGTTGTGAGGTGAGTCAGTTATGGTGAGAGTCAGTTGTGAGGTGAGTCAGTTATGAGGTGAGTCAGTTAGAGGTGAGTCAGTTATGAGGTGAGTCAGTTGTGAATGAGTCAGTTGTGGTTGAGTCAGTTGTGGGTGAGTCAGTTATGAGGTGAGAATGTTGTGAGGTGGAGTCAGTTATGAGGTTGAGTCAGTTGTGAGGTGAGTCAGTTATGAGGTGAGTCAGTTGTGAGGTGAGTCAGTTGTGAGTTGAACTGTTGAGGTGAGTCACTTGTGAGGTGAGCTGTGAGGTGACGCATGAGATGAGTCAGTTGGAGGTGAGTCAGTTATCAGGTGAGTCAGTTATGAGATGAGTCAGTTGGAGGTGAGTCAGTTATCAGGTGAGTCAGTTATGAGGTGAGTCAGTTGTGGGTGAGTCAGTTATGACGTGAGTCAGTTATGAGGTTAGTCAGTTGTGAGGTGAGTCAGTTGTAAGGAAGTGAATCATTTGTGAGATGAGTCAGTTAAGGTGAGTCAGTTATAAGGAAGTGAATCAATTGTGAGGTGAGACAGGTGTGAGTTCGGTTATTTGTAAGGAGGTGAGTCAGTTGGAGGTGAGTCAGTTATAAGGTGAGTCAGTTGTAAGGTGAGTCAGTTATAAGGTGAGTCAGTTGTAGGAGTCAGTTATAAGGTGAGTCAGTTATAAGGAAGTGAATCATTTGTGAGATGAGTCAGTTGTAAGGTGAGTCAGTTATAAGGAAGTGAATCAATTGTGAGGTGAGACAGGTGTGAGTTCGGTTATTTGTAAGGAGGTGAGTCAGAGGTGAGTCAGTTATAAGGTAAGTCAGTTGTAAGGTGAGTCAGTTATAAGGTGAGTCAGTGAGGTGAGTCAGTTATAAGGTGAGGTCAGTTGTAGGTAGAGTCAGTTATACGGTGAGTCAGTTATAAGGTGAGTGTCAGAGGTGAGTCAGTTATAAGGTGAGTCAGTTGTAAGGTGAGTCAGTTATACGGTGTCAGTTATAAGGTGAGTCAGTTGTAAGGTGAGTCAGTTATACGGTGAGTCAGTTATAAGGTGAGTCAGTTATACACAATGTTCTGGTCAGCCAACAAGGCTCCTCCCAGACTGACTTCCTCCTCCTCCTCCTCCTCCTCCTCCTCCTCCTCCTCCTTCTTCCTCCCACTCTCCTCCTCCTCCTCCTCCTCCTCCTCCTTCTTCCTCCCCTCTTCTTCTCCTCCTCCGTCCATCTCATCTTCACTCTACACACACACACACACACACACACACACACACACCACCTACCTGGCTCATATGTGTATACACAGAAGGGCGTATACATATTATTCTAGTCTATGTATACACAGTTATTTAGTATTTATATATAGTACATGCATATAAGCGTATAGACCCTTGCCATGTATAACCAGGTATTTGCTCTGTGTGTGTGTTCTGTGTGTGTTATTTCTTGTGTGTGTATGTGTGTGTGTGTGTGTGTGTGTGTGTGTGTGTGTGTGTGTGTGTGTGTGTGTGTGTGTGGGCATTATAGGTACGGGCCATTGGCAGGAATGTCCTCTCTCTCTCTCTCTCTCTCTCTCTCTCTCTCTCCTTGGCCTCCTGCCTCACTGTGTATCTCTGTTATGTCTTCTGTTACTCACATAACTAGTTTTATATTAATTTACTCATACTAAGACATAATTAATTTATACATGCTAAAACAGTAGTGCTCCTTACTAAGACACCTGTTAATTATCATGCCTAAAACATATATTTCAGACATACATATTTCAAAACCATATTAATTGCTCATACTAAGACACTTATGATAATTATACATGCTAAGACACCTGTTAATTGCTCCCTTACTAAAACACCTGTTAATTACTCTATAAGACACCTGTTAAGTATACATACTAAGACACCTGTTAATTACTCCCTTACTAAACACCTGTTAAAAAACCACTCCCTTATGAACACCTGTTAATTGCTCATACTAAGACATATTAATTACTCACTAAAACACTTATATTAAGTATCGTCTGCCTCGCCGTGTGTTCATATCGCTTAATCAACAGCACAAACCGATAGTCATTTGTTTTCATTACGTCGTCACATTCGATTTTCCCACGATTTTTCATTCTTATTTAATATAATTTTCTCTTGTGTTTTTATAGGTTTTGATGTAATTTTTATTTACGTTTTCTATTAATGTTTATTTATACTTTGTTTGTTGACCTATTAGTGTATTCTTGTGGTTAATATTATCTTTGTGTTTATGTGTTTTGTTGGATAGGAGGAGAGGGTGGAGGGAGAGAGGGAGAGGAGAAGAAGAAGGAGGGGACAGAGATGAGAAGAGGGAGACAATATAAATGTGATTAAGCATGAGGAGAAAGAAGAGACAAACAGACAGGGGGGAAACAGAGGCCATACACCTCAGCGCCCTCTCGTGGATTCCTCCCTCTAGGCTTAACCGGTGGACGACATATGGTGACTTGGCACCGTCGCACTGTCCATGGGGAATGGTCAGGTGAGGGGAGATGATGGCCAGGTGAGGGGAGATGATGGTCAGGTGATGGTCAGGTGAGGGGAGATGATGGTCAGGTGAGCAGGTAGGGGAGATGATGGCACAGGTGAGGGAGATGGTCAGGTGATGGTCAGGTGAGGGGAGATGATGGTCAGGTGATGGTCAGGTGAGGGAGATGATGGTCAGGTGATGGCAGTGAGGGAGATGATGGTCAAAAACAAAACATCAGGTGAGGATGATGGTCAGGTGATGGCAGGTGAGGAAGATGATGGCCAGGTGAGGGGAGATGATGTCGGTGATGGCAGGGAGGGAGATGATGGTCAGTATGGTCAGTGAGGGACAGATTGGGTGAGATGATGGTCAGGATGGTCAGGTAGGGAGAAATGGTCAGTGATGGTCAGGTGAGGAGATGGTCAGGTGAGGGAGATGATGGTCAGGTGAGCAAGAGATGATGGTCAGGTGAGGGAGATGATGGTCAGGTGAGGGAGATGATGGTCAGGTGATGGTCAGGTGAGGGAGATGATGGTCAGGTGAGGGAGATGATGGTCAGGTGAGGAGATGATGGTCATGATGGTCAGGTGAGGGAAATGATGGTCAGGTGAGGAGATGATGGCTCAGGTGAGGAGAATCAGGTGATGGTCAGGTGAGGGGAGATGATGGTCAGGTGATGGTCAGGTGAGAGATGATGGTCAGGTGAGGGGAGATGATGGTCAGGTGATGGTCAGGTGAGGGAGATGGTCAGGTGAGGGAAGATGGTGGTCAAGGAGGGAGATGATGGTCAGGTGAGGGGAGATGATGGTCAAGTGAGGGGAGATGATGGTCAGGTGAGGGGAGATGATGGTTCAGGTGATGGTCAGGTGAATGTCAGGTGAGTGTCATATGAGGGTCAGGTGAGTGTCAGCTGATGGTGAGGTGAGTGTCAGATGACGGTCAGGTGAGTGTCAGATGAGAGTCAGATGAGTGTCAGGTGAGTGTCAAGTGAGAGCGATGAGGGTCAGGTGAGGTCTAATATACAGCAGTATATATTAACATAGTGTGTTTACCAATGGCTGCCCCAGATGGTGTGGAGACCGGCCTCGTGTTCAGGTTGTCCCTCACAAATGCCTGGAGAACGAGTAGCTGAGCGCAGAGAGGCTCCAGAGAGAGCAGCAGCAGCCGCCGCTACTGCACGCCACCCAGCAGCATGGGTGCGTCAGAGGAGGAGAGCCACCCTCAGCCGCAAAATCATAGCATCTGAGTCACACTTTTTCCTCCTTATTGAAGGCACTAAACAGGTAAGTTCTAGAGGATAGGGAAGTGGTGGTAGCATGAGGCTACCAGTACAGGTAGTAGTAATAGCATGGGGCTACTAGTACAGGTAATAGTAGTAGTAGTAGTAGTAGTAGCATGAGGCTACTAGTACAGGTAGTAGTAGTAGTAGTAGTGGCATGAGGCTACTTGTAACTTAGCTCTCGGTGCTGCACAGTAGGAATGAGAACGACAAGATAAGGGCATAGGGGAGAGAATTCAGAACATTGATCACGGCAGCTTCACTCCTCTAGTGTTCACAACCTCTGGTGGGATGGGACCAAGTGCAAGATGTTTCTACGCCAGACTCGCGGAGGTGATCTCCGAACAAACAGCAGCCCAGAAGTTATGTTACAGTCGACTGTCTTCTCTCCTCCCGGTCGGCTTTGTTCTGCCTCAGAGGAACGAGAGCTTCTGCCCCAAAGCCAACAGCTGCAGATATTGACTATGAGGCAACAGTCACTGCATGCCACATAGATTCTCGGCTCAATTAACTCTACACATATAGGATAGCTACTTATGTATTAGGATATTTAATATTAAGGAAATAAAATGGCGGCGAAGGTGTGGCTATTGGAGGAGGCTGGAGGCCACGTTTAAAAAAAAAAAATAAATAAATAAATAAAAATAGTAGTAGTAGTAGTAGCATGACGCTACTAGTACAGGTAGTAGTAGTAGTAGTAGTAGTAGTAGCCAAATTAACATCAAAATTCACTTAAGCTCACGGCAGCCCTCACGGACCACATAATAGCCCAGAACGCAACAGGGGAGGTCGATACCAGTGAAGTAAACGAGATTCGTAGGTCCATTACGACAGATCGACAGCACTGCCAAAATGATAAGTTGCAGCAACTGTTGCTGCAGGTTCCAGAAAATTTGAAAAAAAAAGTAGCTATAGCACAGGAGGTGGGCGCCTCGAACTGGTTAACTACGTTACCGATAAGGGCAAATGGTTTCAGTCTTAACAAACAAGAATTTACAGATGCCATTGCTCTAAGGTACGGTCGGCCAGTAGAAGGTTTGCCCTCCCAATGCGTGTGTGGCTCTTCCTATGACGGCGATCACGCCATGGTGTGCAAGAAAGGGGGCTTCATATGCATGAGGCATGACGAAGTAAGGGACCTTACAGCAAATATGTTGAAGGAAATCTGCCGGGATGTCATGTTAGAACCGACCCTCCTTCCATTGGATGGTGAGATCTTCCAACATAGGACTTCAAACACATCTAACGAAGCCCGTGTTAACGTCAGTGCTCGAGGATTCTGGACGCGGGGACAGCGAGCTTTCTTCGACATCAGGATCTTTGATCCCATGGCCGCATGTCACCGTAACCTAGCTCTTGATGCTGCACATAGGAGGAACGAGAACGACAAGAGAAGGGCATATGGGGAGAGAATTCAGAATGTTGATCAAGGCAGCTTCACTCCTCTAGTGTTCACAACCTCTGGTGGGATGGGACCAAGTGCAAGATGCTTCTACGCCAGACTCGCGGAGGTGATCTCCGAACAGAAGCAGCAGCCCAGAAGTTATGTTACAGCCTGGATGAGATGTCGACTGTCCTTCTCTCTCCTTCGGTCGGCTTTACTCTGCCTCAGGGGAACGAGATCATCGGCCCCAAAGCCAACAACAGTTGCAGATATTGACTATGAGGCAACAGTCACTGAATGCTGCATAGATCTGGGGCTCAACTAGCTCAACACAGCTTGGATATCTACTTATGTATTAGGATATTTAATATTAAGGTAATAAAATGGTGGCGAAGGTGTGGCTATTGGTGGAGGCTGGAGGCCATTGTTGTAGTAGTAGCATCAGCATGGTAATTTATGAGAAGACCGCTACCACCAGAAGGAGTTGTTCAATTTCTTTCATTTTTTCCACAAATGTTTTTATCATTACGGTATTTTAGTGAGTATTTTAAAAGAGGCGACATCTTTTTTTATTATAAGTATTTTTTAGTTTTATCTACCTTCACAAATCAACTGTAGTGGCCGGGGTATGAGGCGGGGAAGTTTCGGAGCAAAACACGGTGAGAAACTGATCATATGACACTAAAATATGTTTTGTGAGTGCTATGTACGTCAAGAAATTAATTAATTATTTACCGTAAATATTCCTCCGAATAATCTGCCGTCACCTTCCAGTGATGCCAGGTACAGGGACATTTCCCATGTTAGGGAAAAATTACGCCCTGGAGGAAATGGTGTAGAATAACGAAAATTGGTCAAAATTTAGGGAAAGGGAACAATGACATAGAGACATTTAGAAAAAGAGTACCAAAATATTTCGTCGACGGTTCTGGTTTGTGTCAGTCGGCACCCATACACCCAAGGATAAAATACTGTTTCTAGTACTCCCACAAGGTATTTCGTTGATGCAATCTTGCCAACAGGTTGTTAAACTGACCAAACTACTTCGTTCTGTGTCGCCTTGTATTAGCACTATTTTCATTTTGTTTGTTTACAGTCCCCCGCTCCTCTGGTCACCTAGTTATTCCCATCTACAGGTCCCCCTCCGCCCTCCTCTCTGCTCTTCCGTTCTGTTTTCATTAATTCGTAATCTAATATTATATTATATTATAATTATATTATATTATATTTTATTATATTATATTATATTATATTATATTGTATTATATTATATTATATTATTTTACATTATATTATATTATATTATATTATATTATATTATATTATATTATATTATATATTATATTATATTATATTATATTATATTATATGTACAATCACCTGGTCTACGACTTCCAAAGAGCTTTTTCAGGTTATCCTTTTTTTCTTTTTTACTGGGATTAGCCCACCCGGACACAGGTCACTGACCCACATCGGGGCCTGGGGGGTGAAAATGTAATAATAATAACAATAATAATAATAATAATAATTAGTTCAAAATAAACAAAAAATTTAATAAACAATAAAATAATTAAAAATTAAATAATAAGAACAACACTGAAAATAATAATAATAATAATAATAATAATAATAATAATAATAATAATAATAATAATAATAATAATAATAATAATAATAATAATAATAATAATAATAATAATAATAATAATAAAGAAATACAAAAATGAAAAAAAAAGATTTATAGTAAGAAACGATATACTGTATGTATGTTGTGTTGTCAATAGTAAGAGAAACAATTGAGACCCTACAATTGTGTGTAAATGGGGCAGAAAGTCAGATCAGCCACGTGGGACTTGGTCACATATGGCAGCAGGGTCTACCATTAGACAACACATTATGCTTCCAATATCTTCCCAGGCGGTAGTACCTTCTGAATAAGTAAACAAAAGTAAAACATTATACTAGACTAAATTATAGAAGGATCAAACTCAGCAAAATGTGTTGATACTATAAGGACGCTAACAGTCCCCAATAAGGGTTGGTATTGTGGGGGAAAATTAGAGCTGTTCAAGGAACTGTATGGAATACAGAATGACAAGCCTAAAAATTAAATAATAATAATAATAATTACAGTTGCAATGAACATTCATCCCAATAGACACTTTCAGTAAATTATCTATTTATTTTCAGCCATGTTAACATACAGATGCTGTCATATTGATTTTCATTTTCTTTTTCCTTTTTTACTGTTGGCAAGTACTGGGCATGAACCGGCTCCTGAATATATCTGAACCTGCTCCAGTGTTGGTTAAGTCTGGTCTTGAAAGAGCTCACACTCGGTGCCGTCACAACACTTTGGTAGGTTGTTCCAAGAGTTCACAACTCTCACTCCAAAAAAAGTTTGCCCTCACAGTCTTCTGGACTTGTGGCTTCTTCAACCTTGAGCTGTGCCTGTGACCCCTTGTGGGGCGGATGTCCAGTAACTCCAGGTATGGACACTCGACCGAGTAGTGCCCTCTAAGATACTTACACTTCAATTAGGTCCCTCCTTGCCCGTCAGTAGTATAAGCTAGGCAATTGTAGGCGCTCTAATCTCTCTGGGTAACTGAGGCTCCGTATGTCCTTTGGACATTTTCAGTAATTTGACAGCATATTACCTTTTTTTTCAAAACACCGTTAAGTATATATAAATAAAATATGCAATTATGGAAATTTTGTGACGATAAAGAAATTATTTTTTTTTTTTTGGGTGTGCATCAGGGAAATTGGCCAAGGAGACCTGACTCACTGCGTCTGCCTGTTAGTTTACTCGCTCCGCCGGTGGCCCACGAGTACTCAACTACTCGCTACTCTCACGTCTGCAAAAAAAACTGTCGATAACACCATGCCACTTCAACAGATATCAAAATAAGTATTTTCTGTTTACTATGACTCGGCTAGGAAGTTAGGTAAGGTTTGGTAAGTTTGTTTGGTTGGTTATGTCAGGTCCTAGTAAGTGAACGAAATCGAACAACTTCTGGCGGCAGCGGTGTTCTCAAACATTACCAGCATTACTAAGCTTGGTATATTAGTACAGGTAGTTGTAGTAGTAGTATTGTAGTAGCAGTGTTAAGCTAGGTTTAGTAGTAGCACTAATAGTTCTAGTTGTAGCAGTAGTAGCAGCACCAAGCAACGGATAAGATGATAAGGATTAACTTACTGTCTTGGGGTCCACAGTCAACAACGGGTTCCCTGGAGAGCCTCAACCTGGAAAGGAAGCGACCGAGCTTAGTGGGTGGGGATCTACTGCCTCCTGGGCCACCCACGCCAGATCTCCTGACGGTGGAGCCCAGCCCTCAGATCCCCGGCCTCGTCAACATGTGCTTTAAACACCTGGAGACCAATGGCATGCACACCCTCGGCATCTTCAGAGTATCCTCCTCGAAGAAGCGGGTCAGGCAGGTGAGTGCAACTCGCCACCAACTCCATTTTTCAATGTCTCAGTATAGTGTAGTGTACCTCAACTCTTGATACTCTCGGCCAATTTTTTTAACCATTAGGGTATGTCCTTCTGTCCATATACAAGTTATTTACTATCTAGAAAGTGCTCCTTGAATAAAAAAAAATGTACTATAGCTAGATCAATAGCAAGTTCAGTTAGTACACTATTTTGCAATTTTATTTACCAGAATTATGTTCCCTGTTTGTGTTCAGGTATTGGCCAGGAGCATACAGTACAGTCCTTTCATAGAGTCAATACAGTATCTGTCATTAATTGTGGATTAACATTGTAGCTACGAGAGGAGTTTGACAGTGGACGGGAGGTCTGGCTCAACGAAGACCACTGCCCTCATGACGTGGCGACGCTACTCAAAGAATTCTTCAGGGACCTTCCAGAACCGTTATTAACAAGGGAGCTCTACGAAGCCTTCATTAAGACACAAAGTATGTAGTGTGGGTTGGCTTTCCTCACCTAACTTCAAATATTAAGGTCTGGGTTTTCACGATGTGTTTGTTTATGTTAATGACGAAAATATCAATTATTTGAAGGTATTGTGGATCAAGAGGTCTGAAGTTTAATTAATGTACTGGAAGTCATTAAGCAGGGTGAACTAGTGACTTGAGGACCTCAATGACCTTGTACCTGCATTTATGACTATGCTCACAAGAGTTTTCTTTATATAGAGCTGTTATTTGACCAAGATTTCTGGCCAAATAACAATCTGCCATTTGACCGGGACCCGCAGGGCTTGTGTATGATTTTATGGTTAATATTGACGACATACCCGTTGCCACGTAATTTGTTTTCATGGATCTTTTCTTACTATATTTTCATCTCTGAGTTCGGATATGACATTCCTTTCTTAGGCATATGCTTCATTTAGTAGACAGTTAGGCCCCTAGGCTAGCACTAGCCTGATCCACACTCGATGTTGTCATCCACTCATTGTTTGTTTCAGTGCAACAACCGAGTGGCTGCTCTCACGTCCACAAAAAACATAAAATTACACCATATCAAAGTGGGTTCTTTATGTTTAATATGCCAGGGGCTCTGCCCCCATCTAGGAAGTTAGGTGAGTAGATTTATTTGGTCAGGTTGGTGCAGTCTGCTAACAATGCTTCGACCGTTTGCGTGTCTTATCGACTAAGCTTAGGTTAGGTATAATTGAGAAATAACTCCACTTTAAGACATTTGCCCAAACTATGACAGTGTACACCGCAAAATACAGTGAAATTGCGTAATTTTTTTAATAATTTTCTATGAATAGTAAGTGACGGGTATGTCGTAAATAATTACCGATTTAATTATGATTTCAATAGGATTCTGGTCAGGATAGCTGTGGTCATTACACTAATTACTCTATTATGTTTCTTGAAGTCATTGTTACTTGATGTAAAATTTGTTTCACAAGAAAAGTACAGTTTACTGTTCTTGTGAAGCTCTCTAAGTGTTCTGTGTTTTGTCTAGCTGAGTTAGGTTAGTACAGTACAGTACTTAGTTTTATTTTAGAACCTGATCAAATAACCAGTAGTTATTCGGCCAGATACAGGTCACATAACTCTGCCTTCTTTATATTATTCGGAGTTTTAATGTTTTTGGTGATATAATTATATTATTGTGTCTGATCACTTGTATTATTTTGGTGCCATTTTAGTGTTGTTGTTGTTGTAATGTTTCTGGTGGCTTTACAGAGATCCGGAACCGCAAGTTACAGTTCGAGGCATTACAACACCTGATCCAGCTCATGCCACCAGCCAACCGCGACACTCTTTACTCACTCCTTATCTTTCTGGCTACTGTTGCTGAGAATGCAGTTGACCAGCAAACCAGCACTGGTCAGTCTTACACGTCATCCTGAAGGGAAAAGAGTGATCACTTAACATTTAGAGCATGTATAATATTGAAAAAGCATATGATTTACTGTACTGTGATAAGCTACCAGACAAGGATGGACCATTTAGTGCTAGAATAATTGGATTTACATGTCATAATGTTGAATATTAATTCCTCATTCGAAAGGAGAAACTATCACTAAGTAATAAAAAGATTTGTGGTTAGACTAAAGGTGAAATTGAATCAATTCTACTCGAGAATCTTATGATGCAAGTCACCCATTGTGCTGTGAGGGCCTTGGGTAACAAAAGGGCTGATAACCCCCTTTATAATTATCACAAACAACAATATCACTTACTACACTAACCATTAGAACCTCTTTTTGTGTATCCAAGTAAACGTGTGTGTGTGTGTAATAATAATAATAATAATAATAATAATAATAATAATAATTAACGGTTTATTGAAAAAAATTCTGCAGCCCAAAGGCTGAAAATATACATTGGACATAAATGACTTATTACATACATTGGTGGTTTAACAAAAGCCTTCATTAGAGAAAGGTAAAGGAACATACAGTGAACATACAGATTAATGTAGGTGTTGAACAGCAAACTTGTAGTGTAGTAACTCCCTCCCAGATGGTGTTAGGAGGAACTCACGTGGTGTAGTAGTTCCCTCAGATGGTGTTATGAGGGACCTGGCGTGGTGTAGTAATTCCCTCGCAGATGGTGTTATGAGGGGCCTCACGTGGTGTAGTAATTCCCTCACAGATGGTGTTATGAGGGACCTCACGTGGTGTAGTAATTACCTCACAGATGGTGTGATGAGGGGCATCACGTGGTGTAGTAACTCCCTCACAGATGGTGTGATGAGGGGCCTCACGTGGTGTAGTACTTCCCTCACAGATGGTGTTATGAGGGACCTGACGTGGTGTAGTAATTCCCTCACAGATGGTGTTATGAGGGACATGTGGTGTAGTAATTCCCTCACAGATGGTGTTATATGAGTGAGGTGTGGTCTTAGGTCTTCCTATCGTAGATGGATTAACACATCGCTGGTTGTTGTTGGGTCTCACGGGCCGTTATCACTGGGTACCTGGGACCTCACTGTGTGAAGGTTAACTTGGGTACGACTGTTACTGTTGAGTTGTTCTCACTGACTTAAGCACTGTTCACCACTGTTCACCTCTGTTTAACACTGGTTCCGTTCCTTTCCTAAATGAAATTGTAACTTCTGGCGAGAACTTGTTGATATTCCGGTGGGGAGGAGGGTTCAGGGGAGGGGGTTGGTATGGGCCAACTTAACAGTTGACCTGGCTGCTCCGAGAGGAGCGCCAGGTACGTCTTGACCCTTCGGTGGTCAAGGATGTAGTGTGTGTGTGTGTGTTTAACCTAATACCCTGTACTGTACTAACCCCCATTTACTGTGGATCATGTTCACGTTATAATCTTCCTATAGCAATCTTACCATCCAGGTCCACGAGTAATAATCATAGTAGTAACCAAAGTGAACACAGATACTGATATTAAAACACTGATTAATTTACTGCACTGTACTGTAGTCATCATCATCAACCCGGTTCTTTTTTCTTATTTATTTTACTTATATTCTCTTCACAGTTCTTTTAACATATTCTTCATCTTTGTTCTTTACATTTCTAAGTGTACATTAGTTTACTATTAACTTTCTCTTACTTATCCCATTTATTCTTTTTATATGCATCTCTTAGTTTCTTATATATTTTCTGATCTTTGGACTTTTAATCCCATGTTACTTTACTATCTTCAATACTCATGGTAGGCCGCCACCACCCACAATATAACATAACACTGTGGTAGTAACGTGGTGAGGTCTAGGCACAGGAGATATCAAAGGATTCAGTTGAATTTAATGTTACCAAGGGAGGGGGAGTAACATAGACAATACTGCACTGATAAACACAACCCAACGTACATTAGAGATTTGGTCAAATTTACGTTAACACTGGTGCAAAATATCAGAATACCACTGGGCATTACTATATAATTAACAAAAATAAGTCTACAGTATAGCAGTTGAAATTACTACAGCTTACTGGTAATATTAGACAACAGTGACACATAACAAGAATAGGTCTTTATCACTTCAATTTATTCTCAGTTGTACTAATACTTTATAGCATTCATAAACACTCAAACACCTGCCTGTTATTCACGTGATGTACTTCTTTGTACTGGAGATACAACTCTACCTCTCCTCACTCACCAGTATTACACCTCTACATCCTCTACGACACACGACTCATAAGTATTTATTTACCATGGGGGAACTAGTATACCTGAGGTGAAATAATACAGACCGGATGAATGATCACCTGACTCACGCCAACCTGTATTCAAAACATTGCCGTGCGTCAGTGAAACCACCTCTGGGTTCACGCTTAGTCAAACCGAGTCCAGGCTCCAGGTGTGGTAGTGAACAGCCACACACGTAGGTCCCCTTATGACTCGCTCCCAGGTGCGCCACCCACTCAAATATTAATCCCGGTTTACTCAATGCATCCTGCCTCAGACACACTGCCGGCAGCTGGCTACCGACCATTGGCAGTTCACGCATAAACAGTGCCTGGGTATATGATTAAATGCATTCAGAATGCATAAGGTTAAAATACGAATGTCTACTAAACTTAAGGAAACGAATGGAGCATGATCACTTAACACTTGATAAGAGGTTCAGTTATTTTGCAGGATTACTTGTTTACTCAGATAAAGTACAACTAAGTCACGGGTTTACAAGTATACCTGGCTATATGAAGAAGGGCGTTCAGAATGAGCTCCTGCCCCAGTGTTCACAGGTTATATACCCCAGAGGTTACCCCAGAGGTTACCCAGTTGGGATTTTCACGACTTGTTTATCGGTCTCATTTACGGTACTCATCCTTTCATGAAAATTATGGCTACGGTTTTACATTAAGTTCTTAAGGCTAACATTTATAATCTAATCAGTGTTTGAGCTTGCAATGCAATAATTATATTGGTCACAAGTACATGAGATGGCATGTACTTCTGGACAGAGTCGGCAAAAATTAACAGAGGCCTATTGAAGGGGATAGGATTTCATTTCAGAGACTTGGGCAGTTGACAGGTCTGGACCCGAAGATTGATGAGTTTTTTTAATACAAAAATGACAATAACTTCAAGACATTCATCAGATTCTCTGATGAATGTAAATCGAAGACATAACTTCAGTTTTGAATTAATATCTCGTAACTTCACGAGGCAAAAACAGTGATCATAGGCTTTGCTTGGCATTCAAAACACATCATCTTAGTACAATTTCCACTACTGGTAAATATAGTTGAAGCTTTCAACATACAGTATACTGTGTGTACTGAATCTTGAATGCTTCAGCTTACGGTAGGCATACATCCTTTACTGCCACTCATACGCGTTACTGTACATCATAAATTTAAATTTACAGTACAGGAGGACACTTAAAGCAATATACTGTAGAAGATGGACGGTGCCTCGACACTAGAGGAAACAAGTCTAGGGGGTAACTCACTAGTTTGACACATGTTTTATGGACGATGAAGCTTAATATGAATAAGTGGGGGTACAGTACTGCATTATTATACGATAAGTCCAACTGTGGTCGTTACAGCAGTAAATATTGAGAGCTGAATGTTCAACTGGAGGCCTTGAGCTGAATATGGAGCATTTTCACTGAACATGGTGTACTTACAGTGATATTGTGTCTTATAAATAACTGATATAATTATAAAGTTTGAATTGTATCTGTATCAGGGATGATATACAGTACTGTGTGTCAGGAGTCTTGTCAATAGTTCTCATGAGTCAAGGGAGGAACATTAATTTTTTTTCTGTAGAGGAAAAGTTTACAGGAACCAAAATCCACTTGTCTTGTTATTATCCAGTGTTTCATCATGTGTCAAGACTGACTATAACACAAACACCTCCTAAGGTCTGAGGGTCTTGGACTATTGATATAAAGCTTGTAGGGTTCGTGATATTATGTTGTCTAGCACTCAGGATGGGATTGATGGAAACTCTAGGTGGTGGTTTTCTTACATAAAATATATTATATGAAAGACAGTCTGGTGCTGGAGATGCCGTGTGGTGAGAAACTTGTGGTGAGAGACACGTTCAGTGAGTAGCATGCTTGAGGTATCAGTGCAGGAGCTTCGTTAGAGATGTTGGGTGTTGCTGTCCTCCATGTTGAATGAGGGCTGGACAGCGAGGAGCTTGCTTGGAGGAGGTGTTGCGTGTTCAGGAACGCAGGGCAGAATCAATCTCAGTGGATTTTTTTTTTTTCTTTTTTTTTTGTAGGAATATTACCTACGCGACCTTAAGCTAATCCATGCAGGATTGACCTCAGTGGAGAGAATTGAGCTTATATACACAGCAGCCGGAAGTAAACCCGTGGGAACTCGCCGGTTTCTTGACTCCGTTGCTAGGGAAGACGTAGCAGGTGGCTGGTTGCTAGGATACTGTGGCATCTGGTGACGCCCCCCTGGGCCGCTCGTTTGGTTGCTAGGATACGGTCGCATTGGAATGCGGATGTAGTTTGTAGGGGAGAGATCCACGACAGCTGTTGTGATAAACATGGACTCAGCTGGTGCAGGTACAGTCATCACAGCAGGCCATTAAAACTTAATATGTTCCTAGTTATTGTTTCCCAGTGCATACATCTCTTCAAATATTTTTCTTGTTAAGTGCTGGGGATTATAGCAGAAATAGAGGTTAAACTGCACAATTAATCTCTCAGATGATTATACAGTTTACAATGTTCCATAGACAAATTAATAGGAATGTAAAGCTCCAATGATAAACTTGTGACCCAGTGTTGGAACTCACAAGCATTATCTAACTCACTTGGTACAGTATTGTTTCTTCAGTACACATTGGAAAGATCAGTTTTCTAATACTATGGTTGGTCATTCCTTCATAGGAGAAACAATGCAGGGGAACAAAATGGACAGCAGTAACTTGGCCACCCTCTTTGCCCCAAACATCCTCCACACAGTGAAGCCCGGAACAGAGTCCATGTCCACGACAGAGATGGCCACGCACGCTGAAGAACGGATAGAAGTCATCAATGTTGTCAGGAGTATGATTGACCACAACAAGGAGCTCTTTGAGGTCAGTCAATTATGTCTGCTAAAGTTTCCCTCCACCAATAAGTACTGTACAGTATGTTGTATGTGATGTTTTTAGTTAATTTTTAAGCTCACCTTGACCTTCAAATTTATGTTATACATCCCACTGAAGCAGGGACTCAATGCATAAATGTTAGTCTAGCTTTATGGCGTATGATTCACTCAACATTGACCAGAGACCGCCTCCCAAAACTTCTCTCTACAGGGACGTTGTCCTGTGGTTCTGTTTAAGCTCCCCTTTACCAAACCAGGTCTTTATTTAAAAATTAGTCCAACCCTGATTAAAAAAAACAGCAAACCAGCAGGTACATCAAGATGAATCCAGGAGCTAGTTCAGTTGACCTGAACCTGGTGTAAACAGAACCAGCTTCAGGGTTTGTCCTGGTTGACCTTTTGGTGTGCTAGCTATGGAAGCTTACTTCATTAATGCTTCTTTGGCTGAGTAAGTATATTTTATGCAGTACAGTACAGTATACAGTTCCAACAGCAAAACGTTTCTGCCACAGAATGCAAATAGCCTCCTGAGCAAGGCAGGCTCTGCCAGAGGTGTTCTGGTGGAGTAATCTGACAGGTCACTTGTCTCACCAGCTTGGCTATAAAACGGAATTTCATACTAAATTCTTTTGTTTTCTGTTTATGTATTGGAGTCTTAATGTGTGTGTGTGTGTGTGTGTGTGTGTAGTGAAGAATAATGGTTGCCCCTCGTGTATCGAGGATGGCCGGCCTAAGGGCCACCTAGGTGTGAATTTGTTTAAGGTGTAGAAACTGTAGCCAACACAACAACCACACCCTGAGTTAACGAGCTGCATGACCCAGTGTCAAATGACGTAAAGAAATTTGCCCATAACTTCACCCTGCCCGGGGATTAAACCCGGGTCCACTCGCTTGCCTGGCGACCTGTGGTGTAATGGTCAGCATGCTCGCCTCGCAAGTGAGTGGACCTGGGTTCGATCCCCGGGCAGCGTGAAACTATGGGCAAGTTTCATTATGCCATTTGCCTCTGTCTACCCAGCAGTAATTGGGAACCTGGTTGTTAATCCATTTGTGGATCGTGTTCCGAGATAATGGTTAGCCAGTGCAGTTGGCAAGTTGTCCGGTCTTCTCGGAATATTCTCGTTAACTCAGGGTGTGGTTGTTGTGTTGGCGACAGCTTCTACACCTTAAACACTGGGTCATGCAGCTCGTTAACTCAGGGTGTGGTTGTTGTGTTGGCGACAGCTTCTACACCTTAAACAAATTCACACCTAGGTGGCCCTTAGGCCGGCCATCCTCATTACACGAGGGGCACCATTATATATAGTGAAGAAATTTAATGTGTATGTTGTTGTAAGAGACATAAAACAACTAAGTACAGCACTGTACATGTCATGGTTCCCGCAGGTGTCAGCTGAGCTCCTTGATGAGACCTACCAACACCTGATGGACACCCACCCGGAGGCTCTGAATGTGCTCTTGCGGCGCCGCTGTACAGGTCCAGACGAGTAAGTTCTGTTGCCGTGTTCTCTTGCCTCTGTCAACACACTATTGTATGAGAGGCAGCAGCACTTACACTGAGGTGCAGTTATTTGTCAACTTGGAGGTGATGGCCACACAGATGAATGTGTCTTACCTCCGTACAATTGAGGCAGTTATTACTGTGAATAATATAGTCAACTAAGTGGGTCTAGTTACTGCATGATATAACTTAAACTGTGTTTAGCTAGCCAGAAATTGGTTATGTACAGTTATGTATATGTTTTATATATAGAACAAGTGGTAATCTTAAATAAGACATGCCATAGCACAGCAGTGATAGTTTAGTGAGTTAGACTATATGACAGGACATACAGTTAATGGTTGGTTTTGCATGTATTTCATCCTCCATTAGTTATAATTGGCTTATGTGTGGCTTAGAGATCTTTAGTAATATTTTAACAATTATTAATTTTCAGTAGAATTAATCTTCACTTGTTATGTACTGGAAATGGCTTCGAATATTTCCAATCATTGATCTATTTTACTAACACTGTACAGTAATACTAAATGTGTATTATGAATATCTTCTAACATACACTACCTTTACTAATAACAGACTAATTTATTGAACTTCAGTTGTAATCTTGATGTACAGTACATAATTATCCTGCCCCGTCTCCCCAGACCCAGGACAGGGCGGTCATCCCTACGAGTCAGACTACTGAAGTTCAAGAAATATTATTTTTGTTAATTTTTTTCTCCCATTATTGTATCCAGTTTCCTCTCCATCATCAATATTTCGTTACATCTTTTCTTTTCTATTGTGTTCTTGTCACACACTCACACAGACAAGATGCAGTACAGTGCTACACCTTTATGTCATACAAAATTCAGTGGTCGAAGAATATTACGCTGGTCACCAAACAAACAAGAACAGGTCTTACATGTGTGTTAGCTGTTGTGTGCAGGAAAGTTTATGAATGTGGACCGCATATTAACTGTTACAATACAGTGGTTGTGTATCAAGGTGACAGTAGTACCTGTAGTCACATTACATAAGAACTGTACTCCTGAGGGTATCAGTTGTGGTGTCCACTGTAATGTTTATATTTTCTTCATTTAAAAAATTTCTAGTTGTTGAAACAATCAGATGAAAACCTGGGCACAAAAGCATAGACGTTGTCCAAAACACTCATAAGTATCAAACAAGAGTGGGTAAGATCACAGGACTTAACCAACTACCACAACATTCTTATACATTTGCTTTTCTAGTACTGTACCAGATCTTGTACTCATAACAAACTTCAAATTTACTGAATTCACTAATTTTACTCTCATAATCGACTGGCATAAGTGGCCTGTCTTAGAGTCTGTGCGTTTATTTGTGTTCTGTTGTCATTTTAATTCTTTCATAAACGCTACAGTATATTTATTCATATGTTCTATTTCCCTTCATGTTTTTATTAATCCTACAATCTCTCATAACATCTCTACTGTTAAAATAACCTCAGTCATTATTACAACTGCTTTTGCCTGAACACCACCATCACTCACTCTGCACTACTACAGGGCAGGATATACAGTTCATGATCACTGAACAGGGAAATATAACTAGGTATAAGATGAAGTTCTCCAATTTATTGTATATAAGATAAAAATGACTTGACTGAGTATTATTTTCTGACGGCCAGGAAGGTTGACAGTCAGTGTATCAGCTTATAAGTGGCAGTGAATTGTATTTGTAGTTTAGGTGTTGATAAAACATCTATTATAATTACCGGTAATCACTTTTAGCTTGTCTGCTTCTGAGGAAAATGGTGAACCAGTCAGTCAGGTCTAGCAGTTGAATCTCCTTTTGTTATTTTTATCATTTAGGGAACCAGATTAAGGGACTAAGATTAAGGGACAAAGATCAAGGGAAAAACACTAAAATTTATATCAGACTTTGCTTTTCATCTCATTTTTACTCTGTTAGTTGAGGCCCTGGTATAAGAGGGTAATAATTTACACAATATTTAAAGTACTGTACACAGAAAGGTACTTTAAATTTGGTATGTTGCTGTATGTAGCTACTGCACTGGGTAACAAAGGAAAGTTCAATATGACCAAAAAATAAAGAGTAAAGGAGGCTGTGGTGAGGTGCCTAAGTGTATGGACAGAGGCTGAGAATTTAAGGACATGAAAGATGAATGTGTGGATGGAAAAAGTGGAAGAGTATGTTTTAGTTTAGATATTTTCTGAGTTAACATGTGCATAGTCACCTAGGGTGTCTATAATTCAGTAATTATATACATTGTCACTTCTTTATTCCACACTAGCATTTTTCTTTCTCATTAACAACACTGCCACATCCCTAACCAGCTATACCATTATCACCACCACACTCTCCATACCACCACCACTACCACCACCACCACCACCACTACCACTATGATCTAAAACCATGAGTGTTATAGTTAAGTAGAATCTAAAGTGAGTCTATTGAATTCGATCATTTCAATAGTAATTACACCAGCCCATCACAAGCAGTTGAGTGATCCCATTGGAGGAAGTCTACCTCTATAACGTTATATTTGGGAAAGTTCTCAGTATAGTTCAGTTTAGGTACACGACTCTTCTGGAGGTCCGTCAAGTCTTGAGGGTTAAACATGACTGAAGACACGTTAGCTCTCCATCTTAATTTTCCCTTTATTAGGAGCACATGTCTTTCCTATTCACATGAGTACAGTATCACCCACCAAGTAACTCAGCTCATCACTGCCCCCCTCCCTGCTTGTTCTGGTTCTTTTACTACGCTTCTTGCTACAACCAGCTTCTTCACTTATGATACTCATAACCAGTAAGTTTCATTTCCTGGCTCTTCTCTCACTCTGGGGTAATGTTGATCACATCCAAAACCCTTATAAAACTTGAACCAAACCTTCCTTGAACTGATACATTATCAGGCATCAGATACAGTAGAGTAATGTCTCAAAGACTGTACATTAGAAACTCTTGTACTGTATCCACTCGTCTGTGAACCTGACCACTTGCTGGTACAGTATTTGAAAACTGTAGATATGGTTACAGTACTTGAATCTTCCGACACTGAATACAGTAACTCTGCCCTATGTGTGCAGTATACAGCTAGTTCGCCGAGTTAAAATACTGTACAGTATTACTTATTGACAGTACAGTATTAAGTTCAGTTTATTGATAACAGTAAAGCACTGTACAGTATCTGCAGTATTTGTGAAGAGCTGATAGTCTGTGAATGTTAATTGTTTGACACCACTGAATATTGGCTGTCTAACTTCTCATTAACAGTACAGTATTAAGTCAATCTATTTGTATACAGTGTATCCCTGAATTAATTGAGAAGCCAATTACTACAATTTTTTATCAATTCAGCATCTTTCATGTCATAAAGACCGGAAAAATGCAGTGCAATTGCCATATATATATTTTTTTAATGGCAGTGATTACTGATGGTAAAATATATAATGTCACAACTTTCTGCCATCCACTCTGTACATTAATAAAAGTTTTGTTTTGATCTTCAAGTCACTGGGCAAGTGGGGTGGACTTATAATCCTGCCTAGAATGTACAGTACATAAGTTTATACATAGGCTGAACAGTAAAACAGTTTATAGTCACAACTCAGTGGCTGACTGTAATACATAACTCTACATAATGCAGTTACTGATTACTGTACATAATATCGTATGGATGTGACCTTATTCAGCTGTTTCACATTACTGTACAATTTTAAGTTCGACTTAATATCTGCCAACGCTAATGCAGTAGGAGTTGTTAAGAGAATGTACTTGTTTTCAAAAGAATTCCTTAATTTTTATCGCAGTTTGTGTCTATTGGCTCACTGCTGTCAGATAGCTGTGAGTTTTGTAGCTACAGTACAATGTCAAGATAAAATACATGTAAAGGCAGTTGAAAAGTGGATAGATTAGTTTAAGATCTACAATATTTACAATAGTATTATACTGACAGGAGTATTGTTCTATTAATCGGGTGTAAGTGCCACTAAGTGTTTACTCTGTGAATATAAAAAAAAATCTCTCTTGCTCATGTTCTTAAACTCGTCCACATTACACTACACTACACCACAGCACACTCCATTAATGGTTGCCCTCGTGTAACGAAGATGGCCGGCCCAAGGACCACTTAGGCGTGAATTTGTTTGAGGTCTAGAAACTGTCGCCAACACAGCAACCACACCCTGAGTTAACGAGCTGCATGACCCAGTGTCAAGGAATAGTCTGAGAAGACCGGACAACTCGCTAACTGCACTGGCTAACCATTACCCCGGAACACGATCCGCAAATCGATTAAAATCCAGGTCCCCAATTACTGCTGGGTAGACAGAGGCAAACAGTAAAGAAACGTGTCCATAGTTTCACCCTACCCGGGGATCGAACCCGGGTCTGCTTGGCGAGGCGAGCAAGCTGACCATTACAACACAGCATTAAGCTACATTAAACTACAGTAGTTTGAACATTACTCTACCCACCAAAAAATAAGAATTACTTTTTTATGATGAGGAAGATGTGAGAGATATTGTCCTCTTGTGAGTGGTCTGACAGTTGAGTGGTTAAGACAACTCTGTCACTAGTCCTTTTAACACTAAATATAACATGAGACTGATTTCAATACCTTTTATAACTGTACATAAATTGTTAATTCACTTATATATCAGTATTAAATTCTCTTTAATGTTATTAAACAGTAATACAGTATTTTCAAGTCCACTTTTGTTGCTTTCTTCTTGCTCTTATAAACTTAACAATAAGCTGCATCTCAAAGTCTCCTCAATAACAAGTAAAGTAAATGGTTAATTCTACTGCAGTTCTAATTAACTCATCTAATCTTATCTATTCCTTCTGTGTATAAGTTTTGCCGTTCATCTGGTAACTTCCCGTTTCTTCTTCCATTATGTTTGCATGAAGTTTTTTTATGTTAGTTCTGTGTTTAACCAAGATGTTAAATATTAGTGAGGGCATATTAATTATACTTAGCCTCTAGGATACCGATGATTGTTTGTGTGAGTGTTTGTACGTGTCAAGAAGTTAACTGTTTGTTTGTGAACGTAAAGGAATGTTGATACCTTATCTAGGCTGTGAAGTGGTTATGTGTATTCCATGAGTGAAAATACAGTACGTATACTGTATTACTGAATATCCAAGAGAGAAACATGGCTGTACTGTATGTATGATTATGTAGACTAAAACATTCAGGGAAATTCTATATTGGCATCCAGACTGAAGCAAGTACAGTAGACGATGATTATTATTCTTGGGTTCTCTTTGTGTTGGCTTGTCGTGTTCTTATTAGGTTAAAACAGGGACCACGCTGGATCACTTATGTTTCATTGTGCAGGTTGGCAAATATGACAATAGTGTGTACTAGATATAGTATATAGAGAATTGTATAAGGTAATATTTTGTTTATTAATTGTGAATGTTTGGAATGATTCCCTTGACTTTCTCTTGAGATATATTCAGTGAAGCCAAATATAGATAATATTAAATCATATGGGAAACAAATATTCAAGTTAAGATGACTGATATACTGTGGTCTTTGTCACCAACACTTAATTATCATTGCTTTTGTCAATAACTGGATAGATTTTGTGTTCGTCATAAGATCACATCAGTAAAAATGACTAACAACACCAATAGCCCCCCAATAGAAGGGCCTGTGGCATACTGTATACGTACTCAATGTTTTGTTTGCTTAGGAGATAACCTCTGTTAGTACATTCAACTGTTAACTGACTGTAATGTAGACCTGTGTATGTCACTGGCTTTATAACTGAAGTCCTGTGCAGCTCCCCTTCTCCTCCATGACCAGTCTTGCTTCCATACTGTAGATGCTAACAAGCCTCTTCTTCCTCCTTGCGTTGTTTCTTCGTGCAGTCGTGGCCAGCACCTCCAGGAGCTGTTAGCGAGTTTATTGGCACCTCATCGGCCTCAGAGCTGTCCCTCCACTGTGTAAGTAGGAACTAGTAACTCCTGAGTGATTTCACTCCTGCAGCATCTGAGACCTCTGGCTCCTTTAGTGCTGGGATCTTGAGACCTTAATCCAAGTATTTCCCACCCCCCCACACACACATGATACAACACTTCCTTGAACTAGACCATGCTGTATCAGTCACCACCTTCCCCATCACTGTATCAGTCACCACCTTCCCCATCACTGTATCAGTCACCACACTTCCCCATCACTGTTACCAGGTCACACCTTCCATCCTTCATCAGTCACCACCTTCCCCATCACTGTATCAGTCACCACCTTCCCCCCATCACTGTATCAGTCACCTTCCCCATCACTATTCTTGATCACCACCTTTACCCCCTCACTGTATCAGTCACCACCTTCCCCATCACTGTATCCAGTCACCACCTTCCCCCATCACTGTATCCGGTCACCACCACTTCCCCCATCCCACTGTTACAGTCACCACCTTCCCATCACTGTCCCCCAGTCGCCACCTTCCCCATCACTGTATCAGTCACCACCTTCTCCATCACTGTATCCAGTCACCACCTTCCCCCATCACTGTCTGTCAGTCACCACCATCCCCATCACTGTATCAGTCACTGACTTCCCATCACTGTTACAGTCACCACCTTTCCCCATCCTGTATCAGTCACCTTCCCCATCACTGTTACAGGTGCCACCTTCCCCATCACTGTATCAGTCCTGCACCTTCCCCATCACTGCATCGGTCACCACCTTCCCCATCACTGTATCAGTCTGCTTTCCCCACATCACTGTATCAGTCACCACCTTCCCCATCACTGTATCAGTCACCACCTTCCCATCACTGTATCAGTCACTTCCCCATCACTGTTACAGTCACCACCTTCCCCATCACTGTATCAGTCCCACCTTCCCCATCACTTTCAGTCACCCTTCCCCATCACTATCAGTCACCACCTTCCCCATCACTGTATCAGTCACCACCTTCCCCATCACTGTTTCAGTCACCACCTTCCCCATCACTGTATCAGTCACCACCTTCCCCATCACTGTATCAGTCACCACCTTCCCCATCACTGTTACAGTCACCACCTTCCCCATCACTGTCAGTCACCACCTTCCCATCACTGTATCAGTCACCACCTTCCCCATCACTGTTACAGTCACCTTCCCCATCACTGTATCAGTCACCACCTTCCCCATCACTGTCAGTCACCACCTTCCCATCACTGAATCATTCACCACCTTCCCCATCACTGTATCAGTCACCACCTTCCCCATCACTGTTACAGTCACCACCTTCTCCATCACTGTATCAGTCACCACCTTCCCCATCACTGTATGTCACCACTTCCCATCACTGTATCAGTCACCACCTTCCCCCATCACTGTATCAGTCACCACCTTCCCCATCACTGTTACAGTCCACCTTCCCCATCACTGTAGTCAACCACCTCCCCACTGGTCAGCTACCACCTTCCCCATCACTGTATCAACAATAGTCACCACTTTCCATCACACATCAGTCACCACCTTCCCCATCACTGGTATCGTCACCACCTTCCCATCACTGCATCAGTTACCACCTTCCCCCATCATCACTGTATCAGTCACCCCACACTGGGCCCACTGCATCAGTCAACTCCTCTCCCCATCAGTCACCACCTTCCAGCCAGATCAGTCACCCACCTCCACCACCTTCCCATCACTGTATCAGTCACCTCCACAGACATCATCACCACCTTCCCCATCAGTCACCACCCCCATCACGTCAGCCACCACCTTCCCCATCATCAGCCACCACCTTCCCATCACACATCAGTCACCACCTTCCCCATCACTGCATCACCTCCCGCCTCAGCCAGTCACCTTCCCCACTGTGCATCAGTCATCACCACCTTCCCCACTGCATCAGTCACCACCTCCCATCATCAGTCAACACCTCCCATCATCACCGTAACAGTTAACAACACCTCCCCAATAGTCACCTCCCCATCACTCTATCAGTCACCACCTTCCCCACTGCATTAGTCACCACCTTCCCACAGACACAATACCTCGGCCATCAGTCAGTCACCCCATCACTGCATCATCAACAGTCACCAATTCTTCCCATCACTGTATCAGTCACCACCTTCCCCATCACTGTATCAGTCACCACCTTCCCCATCACTGTATCAGTCACCTTTCCCATCACTGTATCAGTCACCACCTTCCTCATCACTGTATCAGTCACCACCTTCCCCATTACTGTTACAGTCACCACCTTCCCCATCACTGTATCAGTCACCACCTTCCCCATCACTGTATCAGTCTTTGATGACCTCCTCCCCAAAACCTTCCACTTTCAGCCTCTTGATGTGTGGATGCTACAGCTTTCAGTATGTAAACTCCCTTTGCTTATTGTGCTTTGACTTGTGAACCATTGATCATTAAGTTCCTTGATCCTTTCACCATCCATATCTTTTATTATCAATACAGTACAGTAGCTGGGTTTATAACTTTGGCATTTTACATCTTGATCAGACAGCACAGTCATCAGTTGAGAACACAGAGCCTAGTGTGCCTAACTGTCCAGAATTTTACTTGCAGATCTTCAAGGCAATGCATTTAAGTATTTGCTTTGCATTTGGTTTTAATATTAGTCTTTGCTGGAGGTGCATTACTCCCAGACCTGCATTAATGGTGAAGTGCACACTACTGTAATATGGCCCATGACAATTGTGAAGTGTGAATTTCTTTAATATTGTTAACTGTGACTACCTTATGCCATGTATTATCACCTGTCTTTATTACCATCTCTGTGTTATGACAGGAACAGGTCTCCTTCTGGTGTTACAAATATCCTGATACAAATGTCATCATTTGAATACCCAAAAGAATCTTGAGAAGCACTTAACCTAACCTTCCATTTATCACCACACCACTTATGCTCTTGAAAATTTGAAGTGTCTACTAGGAAGACAAAAAATCAACCAACTTTTTGCTTCTTAAGAAATGCATATTTATTTGCTGTGAGCGTAGCCTCTGGGCCTCAACATGCTAACACTACTTCATGGTGTCTCTGTGGCAGAAGAGTTGGGAACTTCCTCAATTTGATTTATAGGTCACATGTGTAAGTCAGAGAGAGAAGTCGTGTCCTCGTTCTGTCCGATGATCACATACTGTACATCTAGTGAACCATATTCAGAGCCATGCCACGACTACAGTTGGCAAGCCTGAATCCAACTGTTCCGATGACACAAGGAAGTGCGTGCCAAATGTTCACTATTCACGAGATGTCTTCATCAATTAACTGGACACAATTTTTTGTCTCTGACTGTCCAGTTGGGGACTTTACCAACTGTTACAGTCGGCGTTGTCAATCCACACTCTCCGTGAGATGTGAACCCTGGGAGTATCGACTCATGCCTCCGAAACATTCACCTAATCTAGGGTTGGTGGATGGATGGCCTGGAGTCTTTATATATATATTACCAGACTACTGAATAAAGTTTGGTCATGGGAGGGCGAGTAAGGTGTGAAAGTCGTTGGTGTTAAGTCTACAAATATAACATTGTTACGCGAATGGGATCTGTACCTCTTTCAACCCCACAAAACACCTAAATGGGGGTTGGATAACTTTTGGGCCAACTGATAGTGCCTAATACCGCATTGCCATTAATTTTGTTATTGTTTTAACTTGGGGTTGCCTGGTTAGAGAAAAGGGTGACTACAAACACTCCAGGGATCCCACACTGTGTTGTCATCAAGTCTTATGAAAATCGGTAAACCAGTTTTCTCACCTTATGGCTTGTGCTTTGGAACATCAGGCAAAACTCTGCCAATTCGAAAGGCTGAATGGCACATTGTCGTTATCATTATTATTATTTATTTTAGGGGGTGACACATCATGTTAAAAAACAAAATGTGATGTGAATTTCGTGATCAGTAAACCTCTATTACCCCTATGTGAATAAATTGAGTAATGTAGCATACCTGTATCGTAGTTAGAATATTGATGAGTCACTCAGTCACAACCTTCTGTTTATAATAGTAATGTTCCTTACATCACCCTATATCATATATGGTGCTCAGGGGTGTGTGGGTCAGGGGGTGGATCAGGGAGGGTCGTAGCATCAGAGGTGGGGGATGGGAATCAGGTCAGCATCAGAGGTGTGGATGATCAGGAGGGTCGGCAGGGGATGGGAGGATCAGGAGGGTCGTGGCATCAGAGGTGGGAATGAGCAGGGAAGTCAGAGGTGAATGGGGTCATCAGGAGGTGCATCAGAGGTGGGGATGGGGGTCATTGGGGAGGATCAGGAGGTCATCAGAGATGGTCAGGGTCAGGGATGGGGGTCAGGGGTGGATCGTAGCATCAGGATGGGGTCAGCAGATCAGAGGTGTGGGATGGGGGCAGCAGAGGGTGTGGGACAGCAATCAGACCAGTCGTAGCATCCCAGTGGATCAGAGGTGGGGATGGGGTCAGTGGATCAGGAGGGGGTCAGGGTGGATCATCGTAGCATCAGAGGTGGGGATGGGGGGGGGGAGGGACGTAGCATCGGAGGTGGGGATGGGGTCAGGGGTGGATCAGATCAGAGGTCAGGTCAGCATCAGAGGTCAGTGGGGGACCATCAGAGGTGGGGATGGGGGTCAGAGGAGGATCAGGGAGGGTCGTGGCATCAGAGGGTGGGGGATGGGGGTCAGGGGGATGGGGCCAGGGGTGGATCAGGGAGGGCCGTAGCATCAGAGGTCATCATCAGAGGTGGGTGGATCAGGGAGGGTCGGAGGTGGGGATATCAGGAGGTCGTAGTATCAGAGGTGTGGGATGGGGGGGGGGATCAGGAGGGTCGTAGCATCAGAGGTGGGGGATGGGGGTCAGGGGGGGGAGGTTAGCATCAGAGGTGGGGGATGGGGTCAGGGGGTGGATTAGGGAGGGTTAGCATCAGAGGTGAGGGATCGGGGTCAGGGGTGGATCAGAGGTCGTAGCATCAGAGGGGGGATGGGGGATCGTAGCATCAGAGGTGGG